CCAAGTCTTCTGAAGTCAAATGCAGTTTTGGTTTATTCACAGCATAATCACAGAAAGGTATTCAAAGAGAATTTCCCCGCAGTTGCAGTTCTCAAATATCATTCTCCATTTTACATATTTGAACTGGCGAGCTGTATGTGGCCAAACAAGCTGGCACAAATGCAAATATTTTAGAGTAATGACACAGGAGAAGATTTTCAGTGAACAATGACTTAAATGTCAATCTGTCCCAGGCAGCAGCAGACCTGGAATATAGCGCACAAGCCATATAGACTACTTTTATGGTATTTTACGTCCTTTGTGGTCAACTATTCCTTTTACATCCCTGTGTTTCATTCCCAATAGGCTTTGGTGATGTGGAACTAAGGATATTGGTTATCGGGAGCAGTGGTCCATCTCAGTTCCTCCTCACCAACTTAATTTTGGGAAGGGAGGTGTTCTCCGAGGAAGTCTATAGCATTGCAAGCAGCCCGAAAAATGTGGGAGAGTTAATAGGAAGATGAGTCACAGTGGTCAATGGACCGAACCTGTATGACAAAGACCTGTCCAAGTCCAAGATGAGAAAAGAGCTGAGAAGATCAATGTGCCCGTCGAGTCCTGGACCTCATGCCATACTCATCACATTCGAGCGGATGCAGACTGTGGGTGGCCACCATTACATTAACAGATCTTACAAGAGGGCAGAGGAGAGTGTCAGAAACGAGGAGCGAAAGCTACGCAAGCATAGACAGTCTGAGACCGAGCGGACGTGCCGGGAACTGGAGGCACAGTTTTGGGGCGATGAGCTGCACTGGCAGATTGATGCCTACAGTGTGAGGGTCGGGGCAGAAATCAGGGCTGAGGCCGAGCTGCAGAATAGTTGGCTCAGGACCAGTGGTGTAATGTAAAGAAGTAATAATACTTTGTTACAGTACTTAAGTATAATTTGGGAGTATCTGTACTTTACTTGAGTTTTTATATTTCAGCCAACTTTTACTCCACTACATATCATAATTAAAATGTATACTTTTACTACGATACATTTCTCAGAAGCATTCGTTACTTAGTACAAAATAGTCAGAAGTCAGAAGAACACGGACTACAGGAAAGCAGGTTTGACGAATCAGTGGTCTGGCGTTTGCAAGTTATATAATTTATAGTCTCCTAAAAACACCTTAATGTGCAAACAAGTGCGCGCACAACCGCGGATGATTTATTTTCCACCCAAGTCGAGTCCGGGGTGTGCGATATACAGTATATCTGCGATAATATGGTAAGTGTTGTTGTAATGATGTGCGATCTGACATTATCAAGAAGGCTATATCACCAAATCACACACACAGAGTGCACGCACGTTGATTTATTAGTCTATTAAAACTCAAAATTAATTCAAGGCATTCTAAATCGTAGACGGCAAAAATGCTTCTGTATGCTTTTTATATTTATATAATTTAATAGTTAACTTAATCTATATCACACAAAGAGTAAAATTTTTCTGCAGATATCAGCATGAACGCATTTAATAATAATTTCAGTAAAGCAATAAGTGACTTACATTTTAGACATAATATTGCTTGTTTTTGCTCAATTTTGCCAACGGAAATAGTTCCAAACAAAGATCACAGCACTGTTTTGCATCAGCTTTTTGAACGAATCAGTTGAATAAATGATTCAGTGATTCACTTATTAACACAGTCAATTGCTTTGATTCTGAATGAATCAGTTGTTTGAATGAATCGGTTGAATCTCAATGACTCAATCATTTACAGTAATTTGCTGTCACATACTGGCGGTTTTAATTTCAAATTTCCACAGGTGCACATCTGATGTTCACTTTGGTTTCATCTGCAAGCATACATCTCTATAAAAAGCAAAAAAAAAAAAAAAACATGTGACCTACTTCCAATGAAATGTCTGCAGGTCTGATGAACACTTTACTATCCCATGAATACAAAGAGAGAAGCAGTGAACAGAGTGCAACAGCAAAAACCGGAAGTAAAACCCATATGCTTTTGTTGAAGCTGCCAGCCTACATTATTTTTAGTAGTTGTCTTTAGTAGTTTTTCTACATTATGTAGAAAAACTACATTACCCACAATTCTGCAGAGAATTTCCTCCAATCTAAATCAATAGTTTTATATTTCAGCATCATGTTTAATTTGATTATGCCATTCACAGTGCTTCATGAGATTATAGTTCTTTCCCTCATTAAAGCCGTTAAGTACAGTAGTGTACCTTTGGCTGGTTGGGTTGATTGATTGCCCTAATGCTTTAACAAAGACTTTTTATAAAATAGAAAAATACTTCCAGAACCAGCACTGCTGAAAAAGTCTGTGGGCACTAATGAACTCATGCATTAGTGACATACATTAATGCAAAAATCAGTGTTGCAAGTCTGTAGCTTTTTCATAGAATTGGGCTATTTTTATACTGTTGCTTGTTGTTTTTTAGTCCGAGACATACTGTACAGTCATGCATTTGTGTGAAGCACTAGTGATATTTTACCAGTAGGTCTTTTGGAGTGGGATACATTAATACTGAACTGACACAAAGCAGAGATCATAACTGTGAACTAATTCAATCATGAGCTTGTCAGCATCACTTCTTAATCATTAACATTTTAAAGTGAATTTTCATTTTTATTATTATTCTATGTTTAAGTTTGAACATCCATCCTTTGGAAAGAGTAGTAGTATTTTAAAATGTAGCCGACTTATTTGGGGGATATCAAATTCATAAATTAGTTTCCACAAAGAACCCAATTGTTCACTTTTAAGACGTTACTGTTGTGGTTAGTAATTAATTGGTTATTCTTTATTAACTGGTCATAGTTCAGAAGTAGTTATCAATGAGGATATTTTTATTTAATAATTATCAAATATCTTATAAGGAACTACCTTTGTCCTAAATTTGCTACTACTTACTGCTTAGTTAATCTTGCTTCACTATTAGTTAATAGTACTAAGTTAAGTGTTAATGTAGTACTACCTATTACTTCCTGCATAGTTACTTGTTAACAACGGACCATTATTCTAAAGTGTTACCGGCTATAGTACCAACTGGGCTGTTGTTATTACACAACCCTGGCAATCCCTGCAAAAAAATTGTTCACAAATACCTATAACATGCTTTTAGAAAACAAATAGGGTGCATTTTAATTACAGAGAAAACTCTTGCCACTTCTGAAAAAAATATGTTTAGAAATGTCTTGCTTATGAGCATCTGCATTAATCAGTGAAAAAAAAAAGGTTCTGTATTAATCGCTTGATTAATTAATTAATGTAGTTTTTAGAGTACATTACAAATATTGGGCTACTCTCCAGGGAATTCCAAAGAAGAGAAAAATAACTTATCTTGCACAAAAAGGAATTTTGAGGTCACCGTAGCCACCAGATCCAGTCTGTATCCAGATCAGATGGTCACTGCAGTCACCCGGATCCAGTACGTATTCAGACCAGATGGTGGATCAGCACCTAGAAAGGACCTCCACAGCCCTGAAAGACAGCGGAGACCAGGACAACTAGATGAGCCCCAGATACAGATCCCCTGTAAAGACCTTGTCACAGACGACCACCGGGACAAGACCACAGGAACCAGACGAGTCCTCTGCACAATGTGACTTTGCTGCAGCCTGGAATTGAACTGCTGGTTTCGTCTGGTCAGAGGAGAACTGGCCCCCCGACTGAGCCTGGTTTCTCCCAAGGTTTTTTCTCCATTGTGTCACCGATAGAGTTTTGGTTCCTTGCCGCTGTCGCCTCTGGCTTGCTTAGTTGGGGACACTTCATTTCCAGCGATATCATTGACTTGATTGCAAAGATATTATTTAAACTGAACTGAGCTGGATGTTGACATCACTGAATTCAATGATGAACTGTCTTTAACTGAAAAATGAGTGTTTACTATTGTCATTTTGCATTATTGACACACGATTTTCCTAATTAATGCTGTTCAGTAGCTTTGACACAATCTGTATTGTTAAAAGCGTTATATAAATAAAGGTGACTTGACTTGACTTGACAAAAAAAAAGTTTTTATAGTATTTCAACACACCCCTGGACACACAGTAACTTTTATGACAGTATATAACTACTTTAGAGGTCATTTAACTTGTATTACATCATGTGATTTATATGGGGTCCAAAAGTCTCAGACCACAAGACAACATTTTGAATTTTTATATATTTTTTAATTACACATAACAGTTTACTGAAATGTTTGATTGCTAAATTGTATTGACTTGTACATGTATTGTAGAATGTCTTATGTGGTTTGTCCTATATTTTTGCTTTCATTTTTTGTTTCTGATGATGTCATCTGGCACCTTTCTGTTTTAAATACAAATGTATCTTGCATTTATAGCTGACATGTTCCATTGTTTTTCAAGTGTGACAGTAGCAGATATGTATAAGGCAGTATTTTGAATTAATTTTTTGGACCACATTAGGGCTGTACACAGACATGAAGGGCAGTGGTCCAACTCCAAACCAAGAAAAAGGGCACCAAACCCCCACCCACAGCTGACCTACTGCAAATATACCCTCTCCAATTTAAATCCATCACAATATCCCATACACTGCATACGTCCTCTAAAATTCTTTGCTGATGGTGTCAAACAATTAATTGGGTGACCATCTTGAAAGTTCCCGTTACAAATAGGTTATAATAAAACAACATGCATAGTCTTTTTTACAGTATACTATATAACTGTGTTATGCTAGACACATGGCACACATTTTGAAAACTATTGTGCTCAGTTTGAAGGAAATTTGTTATATAATTTAAATGTGAAAATCTTAAAAATGTTTGTATGTGTATTTGCAGAATTTTGTTTCTGATGTGTCACTGCGCTGCACTGATAGCCCCAATCACTAGTTTTAATCAAATAACATTTCTCAAAACTATATTTAGAAGAGGTAGAAATTAAGCTATTTTACTCAAAGTACAGTGAGGCTACACTGTAAAGGCAGCAGGCGGCAGTAATGAGAAATACAAGAAGGCCTGCATGTACTTTCATTTTCGCATTCTGCCACGTCTTTTCTCCAGACGGCTTTTGTCGCACTTTCATAAACCTGTACTTTGGTGAAAACCACCTGAAATAGGTATGTACACATCTATAATGTATTTGAGTATTGTTATGTGTTGAATATGTAAAATAAATTTAGGCTATTTGAGAAAGCGTCCGTCATGCAAATTCGAAAGTACACTCGGTGACTTATAATGCGAGAAGACATATTTTGGATCAGTAAACAGGCCTAATTGTTATGGATATTGGTTGCGAATGAATTAACGCACATGCTGCACTTTTTAGTGCACGTCGTGACAGATAGGCTGTGTGTTTTTCAAAAATGAAGCTTTTAAAAGCGCTTTTTACTCTAAAATACATATTGAAACTAATGCAGTCGAGAAAGACAAGCGGTCCAACCAATCATGTTAGAAAACAATCATGTCAGAAAGAGGGTGGAACTCCTTTTAGGTAGTGACTTTTTCTGTTGCTGTAGTGTGTTGCTTGTTGCCAATTAAAAACCTACAAACGTACTTTTTGGAGAAACGTAGGTGTCCTAAAAAAACTATAACCTTACGCTTTTTTCAGGTTCTAGCAAATATATTGTAATGATTTCTTATTAATTCTCTCTTATTTTATAGACCAAACTGTGCACACAGTGTCTTATATGATAGATAGTGATTTATTTGTATAATAATTCATTTCTGATTTATTACACAGTTTGTATAAAGTAGGTATACAACAGTACCGTGACTAAATAAAATTAAATATGTGTGCTTAATATTTGCTGCATTATTTTTAGTGGGATGTTGCTGGATTGGTGTGACAAGTTCATGACCTTCAGAGGTAAGTTTCTTTTTTGTTTTGTTTTGATTTGTTCTGTTCTGTTTGAAATAAAAGTACTATATTTAGTTAATTTTAATGGTCTACGTGCTTTGGCATGGTTTATATAATGCTACTTTTATGGCCTGTATTGTTGTAATGGTACAGTAAGAATAAAACTTGAAAATTCTGTCTTCATTTACTCACCCTCATGTCGTTCCAAGCATGTTTCACTTCTGCGAAACCTAAACGAAGATACTATTTTTTTTCATGAATATGTTGAATTAGTTCTCATTTTTATTTTTCTATTTTCACTAATTTTGTTACTTTTTTGTCATTTTTACTAGTCTTAGTTCTTTTTTTAAAGTGTGTCATTTGTTTATTAATTTCTATTTCAGTTTTAGTTATTTTACTACATCAGTTTAAACTAATTGAAAATGAGAAATGCTGGCAGCTAGCTGAAATAAAATGAGTAAAATTTTTAGTTAGTTATAGTAACTAAATAGTTAATTAGTAACAAAAAAAATGTTATGGTAAAATATACGGTTAATTTTTTTAGTTGTTTCTGAACGTTTATTTGTCTTTAATAGGATAGCATATCCTGAATTCTTCAACCCCTGTGATTGTTATATTTACGATGGCATCAGTCAAAGTGAAACCACGGAGAAGACTGAGCTTAGACAATCCACCTAATAGTGAGTTGACAAACAATTCAGAACATTTAAGAAATTACGGTTTATCTGATTAACAGTGAAAGATGTTTTAACTTCATCTCATAGTGAGCAGAGAAACACCACTGAGGATGCTGGTCTTTGGCGACTCAAGTCAGGATCAGATCTCACTGACACGGTCTGTGCTGGGGCAAGATGTCTTTACCAGAGATGAAGTCAATATTTCAGCTACCAAGAAAAATTCAGGGGTTGTTCAGGAGAGAAACATAACCCTAGTCAATGCACCAAATCTTCAGGATAATGACTTGCCGGACAGCATACTTCATAAGGAGCTCAGGAAGGCAGTTTGTTTCTCATGTCCAGGTCCTCATGCTGTGGTGTTCGTTGTAGACCCATTTCACTTGACCTCTAACACTATGGACATACTGAAGCCTATGGTACACTACTTTGGGGAATGTGTCTTGAAGCACACATTGATTGTTTTATACCATGAGCGAGGTATGAGAACTCAGTCCATAGAAGACGAGGTAAAAAAGAATAAGAGCTTTAGAGCGCTTGCTGAGAAATGTAGCCAGAACTACCTCTTCTTCAATGGAGAAGTAAACTGGACTGAGGGTAACCAGACACAAGCATTGCTCACCAAGGTGGAAAAGATGGTCCGGGAGCAGGGAATGTTTTCAAACATGGAATTTAAGGATGCCGAAAAAAGAATTCAGATAGAGGAGCGTTTCATCAAAAAATCAAAGGAGAAAGAGATCAGGGAGACATTGAAGGCGCTGGAGAACCAACATTCAGGAGAAGCGCTTGCCAGTGAGATCCTGAGGTATGAAGAAAAGATACAGTTGGAGTGCCGAGAGAAAGCAGAGCTGGTTGTTGCGGACAAGCTTGGCTTTACGCTTAGATTGGTTGATTATGCTGTTGCAGTGGGGAAAGGTGCATTTGTTGGTGCACTTCTGGGATTTGCAGTAGGATATGAAGGTATGGCAGTGGGAGCTGCTGTTGGTGCTGGTCTTGGTGCTGCGCTTGGAGGTGCAGCTAATGCAGTATGGAGCTACATTTACAAATCCTTTACAGATGCCCACTAAGGGGTAAGGGTGCAACGATAAATCAATCCCATGGATTGATTCTGCGATTTTCTGAATGCATCGCGATTCTCTCTGGAATCTATTCTGAGCTTAGTTTTTAACAGCAGATGGCACTGTGTGCTTTAGAAACAGTACTGTGCTCGCTTCCAGTTCCATACACACACACACACCACTTGAATCTAAAATAATCATTCATAAAGTTCTTAAAGGTTGAAGCGAATTACAAGAGTGTTCACAGTGGGTTGTGTTTACATTAATCTCGCATCATAAACACATAAAAGCCGAGGTGCAAGTACATTTAACCACTTACATTACTCAGTCGAACGCACAAGCGCACTTTTTCGTGAGCATTTGAGTGTGCGATTAAAAACTAGCCTAGAGCACCATCTGGTGTTGAAAACTAAACTCAGGATTGATTCCTGAGAATCGCGATGCATTCCGAAAATCGCAGAATTGATCCATGTATCGATTTATCGTCACACTCCTACTAAGGGGCTACTTAGTGCATAGTGTCGGCTTCTGACAACCCTGGATCTCCCATAGAGGTGTGCATTTCATTATTGACAAGAAATTATATCTTAATATTTTTTTGTGATTTTTTTGTCGATAACTATAAGTAAGCAATATTTTGATTAGTGTGTTTTTGTGCTGGTACCTTGGCTGGTTTGGGCCTGTTATGAATAAATAAACATGACACTAAAACCGCCAGTAGGTGGTGGTAAATCCCTTAATGAGTGATTCATTGAATCATTCATTCAAACAATTTGTTCAAAATGGCTTGTTTATTTAGAAATGAGCCGCTTGGCTGCCTGTCTTAATGATTTGTTCAAAAACGGATTAATTTAGACACTAAACACTGAAGGGTTGCTCTGAGAGACAAAACATGTTCTGCTCCAGCTTTGTTTGAAAATAGTTGTGTTGGTGAAACAGAGGATAAAAATACAATATTGTGTCTAAAATTTCACTCAATATTAACTTCTTGTTTTTGTGAACTGTTGTATAAAGTTAATAGGAACTTTTGCGATCACACTCGAGCACTAATATTCATGAAAATGGCACTCTTGCTTACGTGATTTGACATCATATCGTATAAATAAAAATAACATCATATTAAATATTAATAACAACCCATACAGGGATATTTTTGCCCTCATAACTTATAGGGGCATTTTTTAAACTTTGTAATAGACTGCATCATGCATTGAATGCTTTTGGACTTTCAAGATGTGTTTTTTGTTTTTGTTTTTGTTTTTGCAGAGTTACTTACTTGATAATGTGAGCTCACATATCATTAAAACAACAATTATGATATTATTGTAGACAATAAATTTTGCACACCTCTTCCTCCCACAAATCATCAAATGCATATTGCAATTAGAAGCTTATTTGGTTGGCTTTAAACATTGTCTGGAAGTAAAGAAAGTAATTTATTTTTTAATATATATATATTTTTTATCCACAATGATACAATGAGGGTTTCTGGGGATGAAGTAGGCTAGTCAGTACATTTGCCAATGTTTGTCATAGCTTTGTGGGCAGCTACTGAGTTCCAGTCCTAACTTAAGGTCCTTTCCTTGTCCTTTTCCCATATTAAAAAAAAAATCCCTTTTTTGCCACTCATTAGCAAAGCACAAACTATAAAAACATGTTTTAACTTAATTTGAATTCAATACTTATAAAGATAGTAAAGCTATTTATAAATCATGATGTGTAATCGCCAATCAATCTGTAATGCTATAAAAGTGTTCTGACTCAATAATCTTTACAGCTGCCACATCTGACTGTGACGTCTATATATATAGCCATTATTTTGTAATCAAAATGGATATCATTATTGCTGGTCTTCGACAATAATTGCAAGTCATTTTAATGCATTTATATCAAAAAATGTTAAGGATTTATGCTGATATTGCACTTTAGGGCATATCTAAACTTTTGGAGGGCACTGTGTGAATGTATTTTTAATACATTTTAAACTGTAAATATGTTTGTACAAGAGATTTTATACGAGATGTTGTTTATTTGTAAAAAAAAAAAAAGTAAACTATTTAGTTGTATAAAATGTGTTGTATAATGCTGTACATTTGATATTTTGTCTAAATTAGTAATAAAATCTACTTCAACACTTTAAAGCTATTTGAGTCTATTTGTGATCTGGTAAGGTGTGTGACTCAGTGTAAAGTACAAGGCAGGCATTGTCTGGCTCCTCCCCTTGCTGAAAACACACCTATGTACTTTATGGTCTAGTTCACTTTATGAAACTCACCGTAGGAGACGTGTACTACTCTCTTCATCTGCTGAAGTACAGGTAAGATCCAATGAGATTTCCATTAACTACTGTCCTGTAACTTTAAATGTTAGCTCACAATGTAAAGGGTAACCGCCACAATACAGATTTTTAGAAAGATTAAACAAATAAGTGGTCAATTTGAATGATGTAATTGTATAATACAATTACATTTAGAATTACACAGTTCATGTTTAAGTTAGACCTATTACTAAATGTTTATAGCTGTCATTTCAAAAACATGTCTGAAAATCAGTCCCGAAACCTGCTAGATAAATATTTAGATTTGTCCTGAGGACGACATGGGATTTCTGGTTGAACCCGTTCTTCTCCATACCAAACGCTCAGCAGAGGCCTCTGAAGATCCCCATTACACTCAGTGGAATGCTACACAAACTCATTATATAAAGCGTTTGTAAATATTTACATAGACACAATAGCTCAAGCTTTCCTCTATAAATGACAGTTGTTGCAGAAAGTCAACTTAGCTTACAAAGAGTACAGCATAATGTGTTTTTTTTTTATTAACCCTGGTATGTTGTGTTAAATAAGTCTGACAAGAATTTTCCAGTCTCTTATCTTAGTTAATGTGTTTCCATCCTACACCAGACCATCACTAGTCACTTATTCATGATTCCTGGGACAAAACAGGCTATACAAATAGCCATACGTGCAGCAGACATTTGTTTAATTACATGAAGTTGTGAACTTATACAGGGTTTATATGGGTTTTTAAAAAGTCTTAATTTGCAGATTAAGGCCTTAAAAGTCCTAAATCAGAGCAGAAAGTTGTAAATTCATAAAAGTCATGCTGAAAATGAAGATCTTCCTCTGTATTTTTGTCTTGTTTTCCAGTACAACTATCTAAACATCCTTAAATTAAGCTGCGTTTATACTTTAAATGCGAAATATATATGAAGTCTTGTTTTCTCAGAAATGTAACACAATTAAGTGAGTTTATGCTTAAAACAAGAACAAACATCTGTCAGTCGAGTATGAAAACGTATTTTCCTCTCAATTATGTTGATCTTTCTCAACCCATTGGAAGATATATCTTCTTGTTTTAATCATAACTCACTTCATTTTGCTTCTTAAGTAAATTAATCTTGATTTAACAATCTTTAGAAATGACTGTTGAAGAAATCACTTTTTTACAGTGTGATCAAAAGGTACAGTAATAGTTATTTCCATTTAGTCGTTGAGAGCAGTAGTATTCAAGCTTGAAGTTTTTATTTATTTATTTATTTTGGAAAATAAGTTAAAAATGAATTCTTCTTGTCAGTACACAACATTTAATTTGCTACATTTTTTTTGATACATTCATTTGATAGATGGTTCATTTATGTGGAAATTTTGTGACGTTGCGCTCTCTCAGGAATGGAATCTACCATCAGTCTCCTGTCCGAGAAGCACTTCCTGTGCTCTCTGTGTGAGGAGATCTTCAGCAACCCAGTGACAACGCCCTGCGGACACAGCTTTTGTAAAGCATGTCTCCGTGTTTACTGGAGCCGCAGCGGGTCAGACGAGTGTCCGCTCTGTAGGAGGGCCTTTGGCTCCAGACCCCATATCAGTGTGAACCGCATACTAGCGGACGTCACTGAAAACTACAGGAAGACACGTTTGGCTGCTAAATCCAAGTTCTTCAGTATGGATGAACTTCAGGATGAACCTGTGAGTACTTTCATTAAAAAACTAAACTAAATGTATACTCCCATTTATTATGCTACATATTTTTTATGTTTTTGAAGGAACTTATGCTCACCAAGGCTATATTTATTCAATCAAATATACAGTCAAATAATACAATTTGAAATAACATTTTTCTATTTGAATATATTTTACATTTTTTATTCATTCCTGTGTTGCAAACCTGAATTTTCAGCTTCATTACTCCAGTCTTCAGGGTCACATGATGCTTCAGAAATCACTCTAATATACTGATTTGCTGCTCAATAAACATTTCTTGTTATTATCTATGTTGAAATCAGTTGTGCTGCTTAATATCTTTGTAAAAAATATATATTATATGATAAAGTTTTCTCAGGATTCACTACACAATGTAAATTAAGTAGATTTCATGATTAATGATTCCAAAAAAAAAAAAAAGATAAATAAACTTAACAGTTCTGTGGTTTTGATCTTCGCTCATGTACTGCAAACAGAAGAATGCAGGAGAGGTGCAGCAAATGATTCAGGAAAGAGTTCAGAAGATTGAGAAACTTCAGAATTCCTTAAAGCTCCTAAAGGTACGTGACCGATTGCAACATGGTGAATAAAACCACGACCACAAATAATATTTCAATAAATAAAGCTAATTTTTTTTTGGGGGGGGGGGGGGTTCAAGATTCTGGCTAATCTTATTTTTTTTTAATTAGGCTATTTCTAAAAGAAAACCTGTTCTTCCTCCAAACAGAGCACATGTCTTCGGGAGGTTCAGGAAAGTCAAAGGGTGTTTTCTTCTTTGTTGAGCACCTTAGAGAAGAACCATAAACTGGTAGTGGCTGCTGTTGAGCAGAAACAAAAAGAGGCGGAGAAAAGAGTTGAAAGACTTGTAAAAGACCTGGAGAAAGAAATGCTTGAACTGGAAAATGGACACACCATCCCCGAGCACTTGGATGACAAGGAGCGTCTTAAAAAGGTAACCACATTTAATTTCTCTTTTGATAACACAGTAAAGTTTTGCTTTTATTTTTAATGTTTCTTTATGTCGTTTGACATGCTGAATACAAAAATCACATTACTTTTGTGTATCATTAACAGTGCTCATGAAAATAAAAAAAAATGTTGAAAAGCTAATCTGTTATTGCTTATGCATAAAAGTGACATGCTACACACATAATACTGAGCAACAACAGTTTAACATAAACAACATGAGTTTTTATTTTAAAATGTATTATTTTAAGTATT